TAGTGACAACTGCAGCTCTTTGAAGCGGTCTGCTTGTGCGGAGGTGTCTGCAAAAAAACGTGAATCTGCAAACCACATTTGGTATCAGTTTGATGTTAAAACTCTTAAAGAATCTGAGGCCTAAACGCGTATTGCAACGAACTGCAGGCGGCTCAGCTGGGGTTTCAGGTTGATGCAGCGAAGGCTGTTTCTGGGCCTCGCTGGTGGTGGGGGAGGGACTCGTGACACACACGGCTTCAACACGCCAGCTAGAGAAGTACTAGGAGCGAACCAGGGCGGAACTCGGCCCCTCCGCTCTCCCCAGCACATCTTCGGGAAAACAAAGGCCGAACGGGGCTCTGGAGATGCGTACGGTGGCTTTTAGCGAGAGAAATACCCGTCCCACCAAAGGAATGACGTGATTTACCGACGAAGAGGCCGTGACGGCGGTTCGCTTAGCTTGGTTTTCGTGACCTCCCAAGAAGGAAGGGCGAGGCGGGCAGAAGGAAGGGCAAGGCGGGCAGAACGAAGGGCGAGGCGGCCATACGCCCTTTGGGGGGGTGCGGGGAGGGAAGGGGACGAATTGCCCCCGTGAGGAACCGCTGGTCGACAGAAGTAGAAAAATGCCGTAGGTGTCACTTGCTGTTGTAGCGTGAACTGAAGGGAAACTCATCCTGCAACGCGCCCAGGCGAAACAGCCGGTGAAATCCCAACTGCTCGTGGGCACGGCCTCACGGGAGGGCTCTGCTCAAACCGCAGGAGGCGCAGAAGCACGTAATGGGGGGAGATCTTTTTACTAAGCATCGGCTAAGCAAAACTTCCACCTCGCTGGGAACAGCTTAAAATGTCGGGGGAAAAAATGCCAATTCTTTCAAATCTTTTAACGTGCCTAAAATAAATATGCGAAAACCGCGACGTGGTTAACTGCAGTGCTGAGCAATACCTGTGTGGTCGCAACAGAACCTCCCGGAGCAAGGTGATCTGGTCAGATACATCTCCAGGGAAGGTACAGGATTGTTTGAATTCCATTCTTTACACCCAAATTCAGTGCTAACACTACGCAGAAGCTTTCGGCGCGCTAGTCTGAGAGCAGCACGCTCCTGCCCTCTGCAAGCTCGAGTTAGCTGCTGGGCTTCCGAGATCTCCAGCAGAACAGGGGATATATTAAGCAGCTTGCGAGGACAGCACGGGGGTAGCAGCTGGCACGGCACAAATTGACAGCACAATCCTGGCATGCTTTTAGGACGCGGTCTGGACGGTCACAAGGAAAGGCGCTGTACCACAGCGAATGCGGGGGGAGGAAAAAAGTGGGAGAAAGGAGTACGAAGACCGATGTTACAGATACTTGAGCCCCAAATAATATGCTACAGTTATTACGCCGAAGGATCTAATTCTCTAACCGTAATCCCGTAAGGTTGTACTTAGTTACAGTCCATGTTACTAGTTAGTCCATGTACTTAGTTACTAGTCTGCCTGACGAGTCACGGACATGCTGATGTGCTACGACAGCTAATGCACAGCACTGCTGACACTGAACGGCTAGCGGGGACGCTGCGGGGGCTTGCAGAGAAAGAGGATTTCATACAAGGGGCAGGCACGTGGCACCGCTGGCCAGGCTGGGGGCCGGCGTCCCGCCCTACCTTTCAGCACGTTTTAATTGAGCGGGGCCTCGACGGCTGCCAGCCCGTGCTGCCGCGGGGCCGGGGAGCTACGCGGGCGTTCGGCAACGGCCTCGCCAATAAACCAGAAAATGGTTTTTGTTCAAGGTGGGCAAATGCTCTTTCCAAGGCCTGTGCCTCTTAGGCCTTGCGGTACCGCGTTAATTACGGCTCGTCCCGTCCTGCCTGGCTGACACAGCCTCGGCGGGGCGACTACGTACGTAAACTCATCGCTGTTGCCTGGAAAAACCACACCAGTTGTGGGCTGCCTGCCCGCAGGTGCTGCCTGCTCCTGCGGACCCGAGCCTTCCCAGTGCCACCCCGGCAGGGACGTCCTCCCCTCCGCCGACAGGGACTTCGGCAGATTTTCGGTGGCAGAGGGAGCAGGGTTGAGCTTCCTTGAGGTGCCTGTTGGTGTGGCTGGAGACCTTATTCCCGGCTCCGGTTTAATCAAGGAGCAATCTGTTCTGCCTTCCTGCTGCCAGGAAGCCTCTCGGGCGCCCAAGCACCTTCCTCCTCCTCTCCTGCCCAGCAAAACGCAGCCAGGTCCTTGCAGGCTCACGGTGCCGACTGCGAGTTAAAGGTAATACTGACTTCTGGGGAGCTGTGAAAAGCCGCTGACCTTGAGAAGAAAAACGGTGCCTCGGCCGGGGGCTGAAGCCGCCCCCGTTTCGCCG